CAAGTGTGCGCCACGTGGACCCTTGTAGTCCCTTTCTCTACGCCCTCACCCAGCATCTTGCCATTCTTCCCACACAAAACCAGTTTCCATCCATCTTCATCTCCTCTTACGCTGACGACACCTTCCTCGTTGGCCCTCCCTCCACCATCACTGCTGCCTTCACTGCTCTGACTGACCACCTTCATTCCTTGGGCCTTACAGTCCGACCCTCGAAATGTTCCATCTGGTGCTCTCTTGACTGGCCTCAGGACTGCGCAACCCCTTTGGGTGTACCTATCGCTCCCAACGGCCTCAACGTTGCAGGGGTCCCGATTAGCCCGGATGGCTACATCATCTCCACAGTTCAGGAGAAGCTCGCCTCATTTGCTACCTCTCTTCCTCTTCTTCACCAGCTTCATGACCCTCAGACTGCCTCCCGCATCCTCTCCCAGTGCGTCTCAGCCCGTCCTTCCTTCCTCCTCCGGATTGTTTCGCCATTCCCAAAGATACATGACTTCTTTAGCTCTTGGGATTCTACCATCCTGGACCACTTCACCCAGCTTTTTGGCCCTGGTTATTGGATCCCAGACACGGAGCAGACTAAGACGGCGCAGCAGCAAGTCTTCCTTCCTATTCGCCTTTGGGGCTTTGGCCTTCGTTCCTGCGCCCCTACAGCACCTCTTAGTTACCTCTGCAGCTGGGCCCAGTCGTTTCCACTACTGTCCACACACTTCATCACTGACGGCTCGCTGCTTTTCTGCCCTTTCCTCGCTTTCGACAACATTCATCGCCTCCACGAGTTCATCCCAGCTGCTACTGCCATGCTCCCCAAGGAAGTTCGTGACCGTTTCCCTTCCTGGTCTTATCTTCTACCCGGCTATCCCCCCAAACTCTCCACTCACCTCTCGCAGTAGCTTGAGGCTTCTCTGTTCGAGAAAGTCCGCTTGACTGTCACTTCCCCACTTCGCCTGGCCCATTTAACCTCCCTACAGGGCCCGCATGCAGGGGATTGGCTTACTGCGGCTCCTTCTTCGCCTCAGTTGCAGCTCATTGAATTCAAATGGCGCATCGCTGCTGCTATCCGCCTTGGCCTCCCCATTCCTCACCTCAACTCTGCTGAAACTTGCGCCTGTGGACATCCCTTCTCAGACTCCTCCCTCCCATCTTATGCCCTACACTGCCCCAAGAACAACGAGCCTACCAGAGTGCATGACGCCATCAAGCATGAACTGCACCGCATAATCTTGGAGCTCGGCCTCGTGCCACAGTTGGAAGACCACCACCTCCTTTCAGGCCGCCGACCCGACATCACCTACAGGGATCTCCAAGCCGGCACCACCTTGGCTTGGGACATTTCAGTAGCCGACCCGCAGCACGGCTCCCCCCACTCCAATGCTGCCACCGTCATTGGGTCAGCCGCAGCCACACGCGAGACAGAGAAGGCAACTCTATACGCACCATCCTTGCGCGCTCGGCCTGACGTCAAGTTACTTCCGTTGGCGCTTGGGACTTTTGGGTGTTTTAGGAAGTCATTCCAGGATTTCCTTCGAGACTGCAGTCGTCGTGGTGCTTCGCGTCTTCGTGATTTGAGCGGTTCTTCTGACCTTATTCCACAACTCTTCGAGACCAGCTTTTACAAGCGCATTTCCCTCGTCCACCAGCGTGAGCAGGCCCGCACAATCTGCAGGCGAGCACAGGTTCGGTTCACAAGGACCAGCGCCACCCTTACGGAGGTTACCCCTCTGTCGGCAGCGTACATGGGGAATGATTACTAAAAGTGGTAGTCTCCTGTTGTTCTCTTTGCATAGTCTCTCTTAGCTAGCTAACACTTAAAGCCCGAGTTTCACATGGTATTTTTCATATTCAAGATTCTTGAAGTTGATTTCGTGAATAACCATGTTACAAGCTGGTTCAGAACAATCCGTCGGTTTCAAGCAGCAGAGGTGATCCGTGATTGGCCAGCGATAACCTAAAACAACCAGCAGGGAAAACGCCTCAGAGGATTGCACTGTTCACCTTGAGTAAACTTGAAAACCATCGGGAACGCTTGGACACGCATATTATGAGGCACGTAGTAGTCGTCCTCCCGTCACATACGGGCAATCGTCAGTCTAAGCGCTCAGTTCAAAGACACGAATCAGGGCCCTTTGGCGACTTGGCAAGCAACCTAACCGCGGCCACTATGTTTCCTCTTACGCAACCGCCACGTTCTCTCCTAGTGTCGTTGCAGCGACAAGTATTCTCAGACGTAGAAAGAAGCACACACTCGCGCGTCGCGACAGTATCCCCAGCCTTCCGCCTCCGCCGTCAATCTCTCCTAAAATAGACACACTCCGATATATTTTCTAGTCGTAGCTTATCGGTATGACAGCAACGCAACAGTTACGCGCGTCTCCTATCACGGTCGCCCTCGTATCGCCCTCACGCAATCATCACATTCGGCCGCATCGCCTTCTCCGTACCCTACGCACATGGATTACCGCGTAGCGGCCGCTGTAGCCGGTTCTAGAGGGTCCTCCGCCTTTGTCGCCGGAAATTTAGGATTTTCCGATGTCGGAATTTCAGCCGTAATTGGAGCGGATGAGGGAACCGTATGGGCGATTCGTGGACGTTCAGGAGCATTCCACGTGGGAGTTGGTCACTGGGGAGGCACCCGGTGCTGACGTGGACAGCGAGGGGAGAGAGGAACGGAAAGGGAAGGGTATTTTAGCATCACGGTCAGAAGGTCAGGGTCTAGCAGCGTGTCTCAGAGAAATACCCCCGGTGTATTTCGACGAGCATTCTTCTCTTGAGCGGAAGGAGATTTTTGATACGGTCTGCCCGTCTCCCTCCATTGCCGCAAATATGCTTCTACAGGAGAAACTATTGCATTACTTAGACCTAGTCGAGGTGCACTTAGTTAAAGAAATCTCTTCCCGCTCCGACTCGTTCTTCGAAGCCCTGAAAAAACTGGAAGATCTGAACCGTGGGATCGTGGAGACGTGCGATCGCATCCGTCAGTTGCGCGGCACAGTGGGGATGCTGGACGAGGACCTTCTGGAAGGATCGCGGAAGCTGCAGGCGACCAAGGTTCGGCGGGAGAATCTGCTGCAGCCGCATCAGAAGCTGAAGCTAGTGGCGTTCGTGCACCAGGCCATGGCGACGCTGAAGCTGGTAAGACACAATTTTATGACGGCTAGAGAGAAGAGAATTAGGTTCCCGGCCGTCTTGCAGGACTGTAGCTGGTGGCGTTCGTGCACCAGGCCATGGCGACGCTGAAGCTGGTAAGGCGCAATGCGGTAAGGAGCCATCCCATCTCATGAGGTGGTGTCATGGAGCGACCTTGTGGGCGCGTTGGCTGTGGCGGACAGCCTCAGACGCCTCATGGAAGGCACTGATCTCACTGGGTGCTCGTGGTGCTGCCTCATTTGGTGCTGGCTCGTGATGATACCTTTTTCAACAGAACTAGGCAAGAATGATTGAAAGGAGAGGGGTTGAACTAGCAGGCAGTTGAGTACAAATAGCAAACCCTAGATTGGGCTGTACTCGCTATAGAGTACCCCACTGCAGGCTAGACAATAATAGCATTCTGACACACCCCCATAGCCAAAGTGGGGTGTAATCAGCAGAGCAAGCAAAGCAGTACAAGCTCAGGGTGGATCACAATGTCACCACACATTCTGAGCACAAGTTCAAGAAGCAATAGTTTAAAGTTCACAGTTATGAGCAAAGCTAGAGGCAGTCACAGAGGGCAAGCGAGGAGGAGGAGGGCTGGCGAGAGGAGAGAAGATGAAAGGCGCCGACTGAAGCTGCAGACACACGGGCAACAGGAGCGGCGCGCACAGTGGCTACCGAGCGCACGAGGGCACCGGACTACGGGAGTATCTGGCTCCGCGGCTACGACGAGCACACACAGGAGCAACGGACCCACAGGCGACTGGCGAAGCAGGCTCGCTGGGCTACCGAAACGCGCGAGGGCATCCGGACTACTGGCGCTGCTGGCGTCACGACGGCTACCTCCACGCAATCTCCCCCGACCGTCCCACGCCCCTCTCACACACCCCCTGCTGACACCCTAGCTCCACTCCGACGGTACCCCCCTTAAACCCCAAACCCTAGGCTCCCACACACCACCCCCCTCAGCGGCAGCTGTAGCAGAGGGAGACGAGGGAGGAGGAGGAGCAGGGGGAGGAACTCACAACCGACACCCCCATAGCCGCCACCCCCACACTCTTCACCCCCAAACCCTAATTTAGGAGAACGGGCTGTAGGAGGGGTGAGGCGCCGGTAGAAGCACGGGGGACAGTGGAGAGGGCAGGAGCAGCGAGGAACGGGCCGCCCACGGGCCTGGTAGAGCCGCCCGAACCGCGCGCAGGCGGCCCGAGCCGCGCGCGGGCCTGGCGCTTCCCGTACGGGCCGCGCGCGTGCCTGGCGCAGCCCGTACGGGCCGCGTGCCGGGTGTACGGGCCGCGCGCAGGCCACGACGGGCGACGGGGGGCGACGCGCGGGTCCCCGTCGCCCGTCGCAGCGCCTCCCGGGGGCGACGTGCCGAGTGACGGGGCAGGAACCCGCCGCGCGCCTCGGGGCACACGGCGGGCAGAGAACCGCCGCGCGCCTCGGGGCGCACGGCGGGCAGAAAACCGCCGCGTGCCTCGGGGCGCACGGCGGGCTGAAAACCCTAGTTTCGACGCCGCGCGCCACGGGGCGCGCGGCGGACAGGGAGTAGCAGTAGCAGTAGCAGTAGCAGCGGAAGGCTTAGGTGGTGGGCCCACCCACAGGATCGACCCAGGAGGGTCGACCTGCTCTGATAGCATTTCAACAGAACTAGGCAAGAATGATTGAAAGGAGAGGGGTTGAACTAGCAGGCAGTTGAGTACAAATAGCAAACCCTAGATTGGGCTGTACTCGCTATAGAGTACCCCACTGCAGGCTAGACAATAATAGCATTCTGACAACCTTATGCTGCTGCCTTGTGCTGCTCGCTTCCTGACCTCTAAGCCTCCCTTGCTGCCCCACACCCCACCACCCCACTGTGCGTGCCGATGCCTCGGCTGGTGTCATCGGGGGACTGTGCGGGTGCGGTAGACGTGATGGACGACCTCAGGCGCCTCATGGACGGCCAGGAGCTGATGGGTGCAACCCCGCCCTCTAACTCTTCCTTCCTGCCCCACACGCACCACCACACCATGCATCAGCTGGTGTCGTCGGGCGACTGTGCGGGCGCATTAGACGTGATGGACGACCTGAGGCGCCTCATGGAGAGGCAGGAGCTCATGGGTGCAACCCTGCCCTCTAACTCCTTCCTTCCCCCCCACGCACCACCCTACCGTCCATCAGCTGGTATCATCGGGCGACTGTGCGGGCGCGCTAGACGTGATGGACGACTTAAGGCGCCTCATGGATGGGCAGGAGCTCGCAGGGCAGCACTGCTTCCGCCACCTCAACCACCTCCTGGTGTCCTCCTCCGATGCCGTCAACAGGTGAGTCTCTCTTTCTCCCACTCCTCCCATTCTCGCCTCCCACTCTCACATCCCCCTCTTCCACCCACCCTCATATCCCTCTCTGCACTGCTTCCGCCACCTCAACCACCTCCTCCTCACCTCCTCCGATGCCGTCTACAGGTCGGTCGGTCTCTCTCTCTCTTCCCACTCCTCCACCCCACTCGTATCTCGCCCCACTCTCCCCCCCCATGGCGGGGCTGCACTGCTTCCGCCACCTCAACCACCTCCTCCTCTCCTCCTCCAATTTTCTAACATCCATCCCCTATACTCTCCAACCCAACCCATTCCCGCCATTCTCCCAGTCTCCTAACAGCCGACTTTGTGAGGGAAGCCGTGCACGATGCTGCTGACGTGGCGCCTTCCGCTATAGTCACCAGCTTCAACCTCCAGAAGAGCGTACCCCCCGCTGAAACGCTGCTCGCTATAGTCAACCTCGAGGTGCGTGTGCGGAAAATGCATGCCTATGGATGCAAAGCGTGATCTCTGTCGCACAAGATTCAGCGCTGTACTGGCATGGCGCGCTTCAGAGCTTCAGAGCCAGTCGCCCGGGCCTACCTGTGGTTGTGTTGTGTCATAGCAGTTGAGGTGTGAGACGTCGCAGTCAGTAGCTGGCTGGCCGCACAGGTCTGTGATTGCTTCTTGTTCCTCATCCTCCTGTGCTCCCTGCCATGCCTCCTGCCTGCCTCAGTTCTGTATCTTGCCCCGTTTCTCGCTCCGTGTTTTTGTGTCTGCTCCATCCATGCCTTGTCTCGCCCCATGCATGTCTGTCGCATGCCTCGCCCGCCACGTGCATCCCTGGTGCATGCATGGATCCCAACCCGTTGCATGCCCAACTCATGCCCCATCCATGCCCCATCCATGCCCCATCCATGCCCCATCCATGCCCCATCCATGCCCCATCCATGCCCCGTCCATGCAACATCCATTCCCCATCAATGCAACATCCATGCAACATCCAAGCCCCATCCATGCCCCATCCATGCCCCATCCATGCCCCATCCATGCCCCATCCATGCCCCATCCATGCCCCATCCATGCCCCATCCATGCCCCATCCATGCCCCATCCGTCCATGCAACATCCGTGCTCTGCCCATGCCGGGCTCAAGCAGCGCGAGGGCATGGAGGAGAGGGAAATGTGTGAGGGTCACGGGAGTGGGGGTTGGGGGGGGGAAAGAGGGAGTACGAGAAGAATTGCAAGGCAGGCGTTGTTAAGATTAAGCGCGAAGAGACGGCTGATGAGACCCTTGGGACCCATCACCAGCGTTATCGTGGGGCACTGGGGGGAGGAGAGTTGGAAGAGAGGGAGAGTGGGGCAGGCAACGCAGGCCTGGAGTCGAGCAGGCGGCTGATGAGGCCCGCTGGTCCCATCACCAGAGCTATGGTGGGTCGCTGGAGGGGGGGTGTGGAGGTTGGGAGAAAGTGGGGGGTGGGGATGGGGAGTGGGAGGTAAGGCAGAGAATGCAGGGCAGGCGTCAACACAGGGGCGCGCGCGCGCACCAGGGCGCGCGTGTGGACCAGGGCGCGCGGACCAAGGCGCGCGCGTGGACCAAGGCGCGCGCGCAAAGAATGCGCCCACACTTTTCAAGACCCCAACTGCGGACACTTCATAAGCCTCTAACTGTGCGCTAGTTCCTCGCATGCATGTGACATTCCATCAATAACCCAACTCACCGGCGGCTAGGCCAGCCCTGATGAGCCGTGACGTAGCCTCAGGTGCTGCCTCCGCTAAGAAGTGTATCACGTCGTCGGGCGTCGCCCCCCTCTCGCCAGCAAACAAGGCGGACAACCCCACGCGTAACACGCACAGTAACGGTCGCATGTGCCGCGATATGTTCACGCTTCCCGTCGTTGCATCTTTGCATGCTTGCGTTGCCGCATGTAACCCTGCACTTGTCGCTGGAGCCATGAGTAGCAAAGTGCACCACCATGATGGGAGGCAATGTCATTATGGGCAACAGCGGGATACAGAGAAGAAGTGGGCACATGCTGTGATATGCGGAGCAGTGGCCACACACTTTGAAACGAGCATCTGCATGCTATTGCTGAGACATCAATGGCAGAACCACAAGCTGTGACAACAGCAGCAAGGAGCACATGGTGACGACACGAGCAGCAGTGAGCACGTAATGTGACATGGACAGCAGTGGTGTGATGCTGTGACATGAGCAGGAGAGAGCCTAGAGCAGTAATCCGATGTTGTGGCATAAGCAGAAGAGACATATGTTATGACGTGGCAACAGTGTAGCCTCATGCTATGACCCAAGCAGAATAACCTACATCATGTGACACCAGCAGCAGTCTCCTGCTGTGACATGAGCAGCAGCTATATGATGCTGTGACACCAGCAGCAGCTATATGATGCTGTGACACCAGCAGCAGCTATATGATGCTGTGACATGAGCAGCAGCTATATGATGCTGTGACATGAGCAGCAGCTATATGATGCTGTGACATGAGCAGCAGCTATATGATGCTGTGACACCAGCAGCAGCTATATGATGCTGTGACACGAGCAGCAGCTATACGTTGTTGAAATAGAAAAAACAAAGGAAACAACAGTGACATTATGCTTTGATATGGCAGCAGTGTCGGCTCATGTTGTGACGCCGCCAATAGACCTTGCATGCTTTGACATGAGCAGCAGTTATATGATGTCGTGACTCGTGCAGGAATGCGAACATGGTCAAACAAAATATCCAGCGATGAGATAGTGTGACATAAACAGCATAAACAGCATAGTGTGTCACGTTGCGACGCCAGCAGTAGACACTACATGACACGTGATATGCTCTGCTGTGACACGAGGAGGAGTGCGCACTTGTGGTGACAAGAGTAAGCAGTTATATGATGCTAGGGACAGCGCCAATTGATCTTATGTTGTGAGACAGCAGCTTTGTTGCCTAATTTCATTGACGCCAGCAGCAGGCACGTCATACTGTGACATGAGTAGAGTGATGTGAAGCTGTGACATGAGTAAGAGTGAGCACATGCTGTGACATAACAGAGCAGTGGTATGGTGCTATGAACTGCATAGCTGTGACCCTATGCTGTGACGTGGCAGCAATGTCGGTTCATGTTGTGACGCCCCTCGCAGACACTACATGCTTTGACATGAGCAGCAGCAACCCTGCCATGCTGTGACATTTGCAGAAGTGACACTGCACGCTATGATGCGTGTAGTTGGCGGACATATGCTGTGAGTTGAGCATCAAGAGCTGAGACATTATGCTGTGACATGGTGTGGCCCACTGCTGTGACGCCAGCAGCAGACCCTATATCATATGACACCAGCAGCAGTTATATGAAGCTGTGACATGCGCAACAGTTATTTGAAGCTGTGACAAGAGCCGGAGAGAGCACATGCTCAAGGATTAGAAAGCCTTGATGAGATAGCATGACAGGTGCCAACCATTGACCTTATGCTTTGACATGGCAGCAATATCAACTCATGCTGTGACGCCAGTGGTAAACACTACATGCGTTGATATGAGCCTCAGGGACATGATGCTGTGACATGGGCAGGAGTCAGCATGGCATAGAAAGGAGTGATGAGATGCGGTGACAGCTAGTGGAAATAGACTTCACACGTGTGAATTGTTAGTAGTAGCAGCAGTGAGGTGTGACCTAAGCAGCAGTGACACCCGCTCGCAATGACGTGCTTCGCAGTGACCTACTGCTGTGACACAAGCAGTAGTGGCCCCGCACGCTGTGACTTGGAAAGCAGTGACGCCGCACGCTGTGACTTGGAAAGCAGTGACGCCGCACGCGGTGAATTGGACAGCAGTGACGCCGCACGCTGTGACTTGGACAGCAGTGACGCCGCACGCTGTGACTTGGACAGCAGTGACGCCGCACGCTGTGACTTGGACAGCAGTGACGCCGCACGCTGTGACTTGGAAAGCAGTGACGCCGCACGCTGTGACTTGGAAAGCAGTGACGCCGCACGCCGCGACTTGGAAAGCAGTGACGCCGCACGCCGCGACTTGGAAAGCAGTGACGCCGCACGCCGCGACTTGGACAGCAGTGACGCCGCACGCCGCGACTTGGACAGCAGTGACGCCGCACGCCGCGACTTGGACAGCAGTGACGCCGCACGCCGCGACTTGGACAGCAGTGACGCCGCACGCTGTGACTTGGACAGCAGTGACGCCGCACGCTGTGACTTGGACAGCAGTGACGCCGCACGCTGTGACTTGGACAGCAGTGACGCCGCATGCTGTGATTTGGAGGGCAGTCGGGACGAACCTCTGGTTGTAACCGTGGCTCTGACAGTTGCGTCGACAGAGGGAGACGACACGCTCGACTATAGCAGGCTGTTGACGGCTCTGCATGCCGCCGACAGCCACTGAAGATACAAGTTGTGTGAGTCAACTCTACAACCGGTGCTCAAGATTGCGTTTATGATCTCTTACAGTTGGGTACCGACGTTGCAAATGTTTTGCAGGACGTTGGCCGCGAATTCCGTTCACCTCTCGTCTGTCTCCCTGCCGGCCACGGTCTAGGCCTTTCCCTCGCGCATTCCCGTGGTCGCCCTGTCGAAGGTTACTGAGGGAGATCCGGAAGTAGATGTTACACCCGCAGGTTGTAAAGGTTTGCCCCACCTTCCTATTGTCTACTGAATGGTTTAGACCCACCCGAAATGAAGTTGTCCTCTCTCGCTTACCCCTACAACGCTCCGTGGAACGCAACTACTCCTCTAGGCAAATCGTGCTCCTCACATTCAGGCCGTGAACGTCGCGTTTCGCTGCTGACATCTCCTGCGACGCGGCGTCCTAGTGCCAGCGCGTCGCGACAAATTTTCGTGCTGTGACCTGCCTACTATCAAGCTAGGTTGGTAGTCGTGCTCTGCTTTGATTCCGTCATCGAGCACGTTTGGCGAGCTTGTACGTGTTTCGGGTTGCTATTGAGGCTGGTGTCAAATGTCTACCTACCACTCGTTTCGGTGGTTCAAGTCTACACTTCACCGGACTGTAACCCCCCCTATTCCCTCTGTACACCCTCGCTGTTTGGATACGATGTGAGTATTCTTTTTTGGTGGTGCTGATTGGCTGCGACCCTAAACCATTCGAGGCGACAGAATGGTCGCTTTAGTGTAGTCGTGTGATGGTGGTCATCCCTGGGGGAAGCAGGCCAATCTGAGTGTGGCGAGGTGATGTTTGATTTCGCGGCTCTGGTAGTGGTTCGCCAGGGTTGGTTCAACGAAAAAGGTTTTTGCTCCCTCTCGCTAACCCTGTTTCATGTTCAGGAAAGT